AAAATGGGGATGAAATTGATAGTAATTAGACCATGATTTAGCTTGATTCAAGTGGAATTTATATGATTGAGTGTTAATGGACTGCTATGTGATTTTTGGGAGAAAATCCTGTGGAATTAGCTAGTGTTTTGGCCAATTTGTGAAAGTCGGGTTACTGTTCACGTCGGGGTCACTGTTCACCGATACTGTTCACTGGTTACTGTTCACACCCCGAGGGCCAACATTTAACGGGAATTTAAATGATTAGTTTGTGACATGAGAACGATTTTGGAGATATTTGATGTAATACCCCGAAATTTTGTGATATTTAGCATTAAGTTAAGGACTTTTATGAGAGGAAATATTATGTTGGGGCTTAATAATGAATATTTCAAAAGTCAAGGGGCTTAAAAGAGGAGAATTTGGATAAGGATGGCTTATTTCTTTTCTCCCTTTTCCTCTTTCTTCTCCAGCCCGTTTTTGCTCGTCTTCCCGCTGCAGCCCGAGAGGGAAAAAAAAAAAGGGGAACCCAGCCATGCTTGAGAAAATAGTGAGAAAGCTTGGAGATTTCTCCTTCCTTCTTGCTCTAGAACACACCTAGAACCCAGAAATCTTCCCTCCCCTGCTGGAAAAGCAGGATCTGCCTTGCTCTGCTTCTTCACCGCCGGCTGCTCTTGCCTTGTGGGGGCGAATTGGCTTGGGTTTTTGGTAAGAAATAGCCATGAATCTCCCTTCTTCAGCTTTAATTGCCTTGGGTTTAAGTTAAATGCTCTTATTTCCTTCAATTTTTGGGTAAACCCGTGAGTTCCCTGCAGAATTTTCCTTCCATGCCGCCGGCTCTTCCCCAAATTGCAGCTCCGGCCTTGCTTGCTGGACTCTGGTATGTGGCAGCCTTTTAAGGCTTAAATTATCCATTTTGTTTGCTGCCTTGTGTGTCTGTGAATTGCTAGAAAATTGGGGATAATTCCGGTAGCTTTAGGAACATGATTAAGCACTAATTCAAGTGGGATTTATGTGATTGAGTGTTAATTGATTGCTGTGATATTTTTGGAGAAAACCCCGTGATTAGCTAGTGTGTTGGCCAATTTTTGGAAGTGCAGTTACTGTTCACGTTGGGGTTATTGTTCACCGGTTACTGTTCACACCCCGAGGGCCAACATTTAACGGGAATTTAAATGATTAGTTTGTGATAGAAGAGCAAATTTGGAGATAGTTGATCATGTGGAGATTTATAGAAATAGCATTGTGATTAGGAATGATCCTAATGATGATTTCAGCTTGAACTTGTGATAGTCCGGTATTAATTGTGGATATTGTTGATTAGGTTCTTGATCGTTCTGTCAGTTAGTGCGTGAATTGAATGCTCGGTTTATGCGAGTGAGGTAAGTAAATTTATGGTAATGCCCGTACTGTTTTAAAAGCATGTTTTGATTTGTTTTTGA